AAAACTGAAATGAATAGGCTTGTTATGCAGGAGATCAAATTAGACAATTTTCAGTTCTTTCTTAACCTAGAGGAAACTACTTCAAGAAATCAATGTTCAGTGGTTCCATTGATCACAATATGAGTTTTGGTACCAATGTCAACAAAATTTCTATAAATTCAAAGCTAGAATAGGCATAATTCAAACATACCAACTTACTTTGCTAATAGCTATGAGTTTCAAGACCTTCCTGACAAGCTCAAACAATACAGAATCAAGCAGCCCACTGTATCACACAGGATATGCCAAAGGGGAAATGGAGCTCTTGCTTGCAAATAAGCTATGTAACATTTACAAATACACATTAATGATCTGTGCCACTTCTATTCATACAACCAGCTACCATATCAATGTTTCTGCAACGTGAGCACAGGCTCCTTATCAAGCATCCAGAATTCAGCTATTGTCGTTCTGTCTAGAGAAGAATCCTACCCATCATGGAACTTTTTTCCCAGGCCACTGTGAGATACATAATAGCAAGTATTTGAAATCCAGTGAAATCACAGGATATGAAGACCATATCCAAAGTTCCATTATCCCTCTTATGTCATTGTTTTATCTCCGTTTTGGGTAAACTGCAACATTTTGACCTATTCTACTTGACCACAGAACACAGACAAAACACTGTGCTGTGTCACTATGGTAATTGCTGCAAATATGCAGTGGTTTCTGCAGATCATTTCACTACTGTCTGACTTCATCTTTCCAAGTCACCTACCAGCCTACCAAGCTGCCTTTAGAGCATTTTCTGTGGCTACATTTGCATTGATCCTACCAACAACTGCTGTGGCAACTATTTCCCTTGGAGTAACTGTTTCTGGCTCTTTCCAGTCTCAGAAACAAGTGGCATGCAGAAGAAGACTGTACAGCAAACAGCAAAAAATGGCATGACTGTTGAGTTTGATGATACAGAGCTCTTTTGAAGAAGACAAAGTGAGTCTCCTGTAAAGCTTTAAAGACTGTAACCCACCATGACAGCACACTGTTTTGGGTCTAGTGATCCCAACACACAGAATTCCAAAACACAGGTTCATCTCAACCTGAGGAAGATAGAACTAAATATATCAAGCAAATATTTTATCTTCATTGCCTGAGCTCACTCAATCTACTGTAGATATCTCTTCTGCAAATGTCTAACATGTGATGAAATAAATCCCATCACTGTGAAAGAGAAGGTTTGGATTCCTATTAGACCGCATCACATTGGCTGCATTTTCTTCATTCTGTTGCCAACACACAGAAGGATGATTAGACTACAGACAAAACCAAATCTGAAACATTGCCTTGCTCTTAGAAGTAAAAACCTCTGTAGCAACAGCTGGGTCTGAACCATTCAGCTCTTTCTTCCCAGTCTGTAACTCCCAATATCCTTGATTCAAACTACAAAACTGTTACAGCACATTAGTATGTTATGACAACAAGTCATACAAGGGTATTTTTTGGAGAACTACCAGCAGACTCAAAGAGGTGAGCCCAGATGGGTCAGGTTTGTGTCTGTGAAGCTAGACAGAGGCCCAGGGACAGATTAAAAAGGGCTCACCATATCCTTGTTCATACTAATAACGAAAACTGCCTGTCTTAGGGTTTGCTAACAGAGTGTTCCCAGTGCCCTTGACCTGAAACTCACTTTGCTTTTGACATTTCCTGAGCAGCTGGCATTAAACAGTGGGTTTCTTTATCTGGGCTGCAGTACTCTACTTTATCCTTTGTTGATTCTCATCAGCTTCATCACACCATACAATGTTTGTGGATTAATGTAAACTCTATGAAGATTATTGATGGTGCAAACCAGTTGAAATTACTTCAAGAGAAAATGTTTAAAATTATAGAAGCATATTTGTGAAGACTGTTTGTGACAGAGCACTATTTTAGAACTGTTATAATTAAAAATGCAAAGCTTTTTTTTATTTTGTTTACAGAGTCCTTAATAGAAAGAAAGCCTTATAAAGTTTTAATTATTTTTAAGTAAATTGAAAAAATGCCTTTTAATGTCTTTAAAAGTAAGAAACCCCTACTGAAATAAAGAACAAAAATTTGGAAAAAGAAAAATACAACTTTGATGTTTTCAGTGGAAACAGATTTGATTTTTTTTTCAATCAGATGCTACAGATATAGAGAAAAAAAATATATAATTTACTTCCTTGTCTTCCTTTGTCATAACCACTCTGAAGACTGCCTCATGGGTCTGAGCAAACACCAGCCTTCCACTCATCATGCACCCGAAAGTTCCTTTTCCTCATTCAGCTCCTTCCTTAAGAACTGCTGCTTTTGTGAAACCTTTCCGCGTCACTTTTCTCCCTGTTGATGACTCCAAATCTTTCTTGCACTTGAACTATTGTCCAATATATACTGTATCCATTTGAGTAAAGTTGTTAGGTCCACGCTGTAAAGGCTTTCAAACCCTCCTGCACCCCTCAGCACACAAACACAGCCAGGTAGTTCTAAAATCTTAAACAGGAAAACTCAGCAAGTTTCCTATTTGAGAAGCTGCTTTCAGAATGTCCTGTGGGAGTCATGGAGCTTATGGTTAGGTGCTCCATTAGTGATATTAGGACCAATGCATGAAAACAAAATCTATGCTGCAGATATCATCACAGTGCCTAGCTTTACTAAGACTTTGCCACAACCTATAGCTATCACAAGGTCTCACTGTTCAAATTTCTTGAATGGAACAACCACCATGAACCAGCACTGTGCCTTCGCTGCCCAGAAAGCCAACCATATACTGGGCTGCATCCAAAGCAGAGTGGTCAGCAGGGAGGAGGTGATCCTGTCCCTCTGCTGGTGAGATCTCACCTGGAGCACTGCCTCCAGATGTCTATCAATTTAGACATTCAAGGTCAACCTGACCTAGTCGTAATTGTTTCTCTTCACTGCAGGGGAGCTGGACCAGATGGCCTTTAAAGGTCCCCTGCAACTCAAACAGTTCTATGATTCTATCATTCTACTTCCTCAATAGAAGTAATGGAGGGACACTCAGCTCATTAATAGCACTGGAAACATGTATGTGCTTAAACTGCATCTTGTCCAAACATTTGCAGACTATTTAAGTTATTCCAAATCTCATGGTACATGCTCCATTTATAAAGATGTAGGAATAATAATCTTCCAGTGGCCTAGGCATAGAATATGATATAAGAAATAAAGAATGAAGTCTTTAAACACAATTATTTTGTTAACAAAATCATGGCCTACATTTTCTGTACTTAGAAACTAGAAATGTAGTCTTTATTCTACTTTATGTTGCACAGAACTAGTGCCCTACTGCCACACACACAATATCAAATTTAATGCATCCATGTACACAAACGTTAATACTGTGTTTTCAGAAAACTGCATCTCTCAGACACTTCTGAGGTTTAAGCACCATTGTGTCTCTAATGACACATCTATAGCCTGGACTTTTTTTTAATGGAATTTGATTAATGCTCTGTCAGGAATTAGTGGGATAGGCAATACAGTTTTGCTCCATTTTCTTCAATATAAAACATCTTACTAATAGAAAATAATAAAATGTAAGAGCCATCACAGCTGAAGCTCTTAGGCCAAGTGATGCCCAGACTTGAGCATGTTTTCCATATCTGTACATGACGTTTCATGGATTTTCTTGTTATTTTTTTCAGTACTCAACAAAATGCTTAATAATCCCAGAAATAAGGTATCATTCCGCTTGGAATCACAGGAGGATCAGATATATTTCATCTTCATCTCAGAGATCTCACATAAATCATTTACTTCTCCCTGAGGAAGAACCATGAACCAGTCTGAGATGTAAAGAGCATGAATTCCAAAATACAAAATCTCTAGAAATTCATTTAATTGCTCAGTTATTTCCTTGCTGAGTGTGCAGTCACCTTAAAAGCAGGGTTTTGAGGGGAGTGGGCCCAACATGCTCCTCACATTGGTTGTGAACCTTTGAGGTGCCAAGAGCCCCTGATGTGGTCAATATATGGACAGCTGTGGATACTCACACCTGGCTGAGCCTGGCCTTTGTGCTAACGAATGCCAAAATTACACGTGGTTAAATCTAACACAAAATAAGGATCAGATTCATTATTCAATGAGACACATTTTTCAATTCATATTTGTCCACAGAAGCTTAACACAGAGAGGACAGAAGTAATTTGTCACCAGGAAGAAAAAAAACACTAAAGTTTGCATAGGCACGAGAGAGATGTCTGCTTTGACATCAGTGTTCACTGAGTATAGTAAAATATAAACACTCCTGTAGTATAAGGTGCCTCATAATTCCTACTAGATGAAGAGTCAGCTGCAGGCAGAAACACTGGGTTTTGCAGCAGTGTGCAGTGGGCATGGCAGAGATGGGGCAGCTGCAGGGAACTCCTCTCACGCTGCCTGGAGCCATTGGTGATGCCCCAAACTACATGAGCTAAGCTGGAGAAAAGTCTTAGGTCGTATTTGGGCAAAGGTATCGTTCCTCAAGCAGGAAAGCCCAGAGCTGGCCTGGCTGCTCGACTCCATCGCTCTGCGAGGGGACAATTTCCTCTCCAGCTGCTGGAAAATACCACTTCTGTCGTTTGTGTCCTATTTGGTCTCTGAACCAAAGAAGGGGGGAAAATAATACCCCAGCGGGTCACAGAGTTCAGTGAAAATCCTACAAGCTTTTCCTGAACAAATAACAGTCAGCGACCTCTGGCCCCATCTTTGCATAAGAATTAACATCAGTGCTCAGGAGTCACTGCTGTGACTGGTGGCTACGCAAATGCCACATTCTTATTTAAAACTCGGATATTATTTTTTTTTTCTTATTTTTTAAAAAATATATATATATTTTTAAGAACCCGGTAGAAAAGGAGGGCCTTGCAGCTCATCTGCATTACAGATGAGGCCTCTTGGAGAAAATCAAGCATCCATAATTCATTACATGTTTCCTGCAGGGCCTGGAGACGGCCGAGGCCCTAGCAACAGAGTCATAGCAACAGCGGCCGGCCCCAGCCAATCGGCGGGCAGCTTTCTGACGCCGCTCAGCCAATCCGAGGGGGCGGCAGAGACGGAGGCGCCGTCGCCCATCGGGCAGCGCCGCCCAGACGCGAGGCGGTGCCGCCGGTGGTTCGCCCAGCTGGGGAGCGGGGAGGGGTGAGCTGGTTTGTTCTGTGGAATTGAGGTGCTTTTGGGAAGCCTGTCCAACCAATCCTTAACAGTATGGTTGGAATGAGTGTGAAGTGAAAGGTGAGGTGAGTTTTGATCTGTGGGAGGTGGAATAGTAATTTATTTATTTTTTAATTGTAGGCAAGAGTACATATTCTGAAGCATTTCTACCTTGAGGATGAGTTCTGAGGGAAAAGGCTGTGTGTGTGCCTAGCACAACACCTGTGCAAGTCTCTTAATAAAGATTTCCAACTGCTGCTCTCTCCAAAGCAGAAATAACCTGCTCTAATTTGCGCTCCACGACTGCAAGATCTGCTTCTGAAAGGATCGCCTTGAAAAAGTGATATTTTTTCCCTAAGTTGCACCCTACAACAATAATTACCGCTCAGCAGAGTTGCCCTTCCATGCTAATAGCTTGTCTTGCCTCCTGTGACACTGCCATTGTTCTGCAGTGACACAGAACAAAGCGAAAATGAAGGAAGTGGGGACGAGGAGTTGGAGGAAACAAAAAGGCGGTGTGCTGGAAGCTGCAATGGAAGTGCAGAAAGCATCGAGCCTTCCCACACACAGCTCGTTTGTGGAGTTTTGTTAAGTGCTGGAAAGTCATAGTGCTGTTACCTGCACAGAAATGTGTAATTTCCTTTAGTGAGGGGGAGGAAAGGTGCCGGGTTTTGTTTGGATTAAGTAAGTGTACTGTAAATAGGAAAGCTGCTTGATCCCCGAAGGCACAGAATTGTGGCTTATTGCAGCCGTCGTATTCTCTAAAATAATTTATTTTTTCTCTGAATGGCATAAGGAAATACTTTCCTTGAAATATTCGTATTTAACTGAAATTTTAAAATACTCTGTGTCCATTTATATGCAGCTACAGAGGTTTATAAATCCTGGTATAAAACTGTATCTGTTTTCGTTTATCTTTTGGGAAAATGAAAAGCAATCATTTATCCAAACCTGAACATTGCACTTGAAGCCACGATATTGCAGGTTATCTAAGCAAGCGTTTCACCCTCAACCCAAAAGTCAATCCCAAATTCCACTCTAATGCGTATGTTGCTCAGATAGTGAAAGCTGAGATTAGAAGATTTGCTATTGATGCTTCAAAGTACATTTTGGGACCCAGTGCCCCATATTGAACTTTAACAGATGATGCATAAATTGACTAAAGCCAGGAAGGCTCCCAGAGGAAGATTGAAAAATACATTCCAATCTATCCTCGTATATTTTATAAAATGTTGGAAACAACCTGCTTTGTCAAAGCCTTCTGAAATGCTACGGATGAAAAAATATCACATCCCCAACTTTTTGCATCTGTCAGATGGCTGGGAAGACTTCTTTATGATTCATTTCTTTCAGTGAATTAGTAGGACTAATTACTATGTTTTCTGTTTAAAAGTGGCTGGTTTTTCCTTGTTTGAAGAGAAGCCATGTAAAATTTTTTTTGTAGCAGTATTTTGCAGCATTTAAACCTGAAATAAAAATGTTTGTTTTACCTTAAGGAAACAACAACAATTAGTCACAATGAGTCTGAAAACATAATTACTGGTTGTAAATTAAAATTTTTTTTTTTTTTTTTTTCCCTTGGTGAGCAAGATCAACTTAGCAATTTCATATTTTACTTGCAATTAGACACAAATGAAAACTTGAACACCAAGCCTGTGACTGTTCATTAAAATCATTTAATGAACCCTGTGGTCTGCATAGTTAAAAATAAGAAATTGCCTTCCAGGATGGTTAAGTTGTCCCATACCTTTTTCCTTAACTTTGACAGATTCAATGTAAGGCTGGAGGCATGCTTACTCTGAAAGGCACAGTGTTCTCTAATGAGCTGTTACAATCACACAACTTAAGCTAATGAATTTCTTATCCTCTTATGTGGATAAAAGTTTCTGGTAGAAGTCAAAAGATCTCAGCTTTTTAAGTGGATTTGTGCTTTGCATCTGGGGAGGGAGGGAAGGAAAGGGTACTGCAAAGACTGAAATTCATTGTGATTCTTAACAAGAAGCACCATGTGGCAATAGCTTCCTCAATGAAACCATTACCATTAAGAATCCTTGTGTGCTCAGTTTGAAGTGTGGAACACTCCAAAGCAGAGCAACAGATCCATGGGCACACGTGGGAAAAGGAGCTCATGCTTAAACGAGTCCATCGGGTCTATTCAGGAGAGAGGATTCTCTTCCCACTGACATCTGTGAATGACTCCATGTGTGGACAGGGAAGCTCACTGCTGTGCAGAGGACCCACGCCCCACTTACACACAACAAAGTAAGTAGAATAATATATCACTTCTACTTACAAAGGCAAAATCCTCATCTAATGCAGTGATGAACAGTATCTCTCCTCAACTCCACAGTGCTGAGGTGCTGTAGAAATAATACTGAACATTTTCACAGAGATCCCAAAGCATTTTGCAGCCATTCACTGACCAAGCTTCAGGTCGTCAGAGAGATACGTTTCACCTGAGGGATGAAAACTGTTTTGTTTCACACTTCAGTGCTACTGCCTCTGTGGAGATGATGCATTATCTCAGGGGCTGGATGGGAAAGCCCTGAATGATTTCAGTACACTGACTTGGGCAAAGTGTAATCACAGTACCAGGGGTCAACAAGCCTTAAAAGAAGTCACTCTGACTCTGCAGAAATAGGAAGGAGGAGAAAAGAAGTCTTGACTACAATTTGTTCTCCTCTAAATGGTCTTGGACTTCATCAAGGGGAGCTTTGAGTCTTGCTAAGCAATTTATTGCAGGCTCTGGGTACAAATTAATTTACACTGACAAATTAGTTTCTCTGCTCAACCAATCTTGTGAGCACACAGAAAGTCCATGCATATTTTTGTGAGCAGCCTGCCATTCCCATCAGTTAAAATAGTGGAGGCTGAATGCCTTTACAATGTAGAAGTGAATTTTCCGCTGTGTTTTTAGTGCTAAATTCTTGTTCCAATGTAAGCAGAAATACATGGTTTATTTGCCATGGCTCTGCTTTAGAGGTAGCAAAGGCAAGCTTCTGGACTTCAGTGCGAACTGCAGGGCCATGTCTCTAAAGTAATTTGGCCCTAGGATGTGAAAGAAAAAGATCACCTGCAAAAACAAAGCTCTTGACAAGAGATCTCAATTCTGTATTAGCTTCTTAAAGACCTTCCCATAGACTGATGTAAAGCCTGGTCATGGCATGAATCAAAGCATGTGAAATTCACCGCTGACACTTGCACTGATTTCAAGATATTTGTATGAAACTGCTATGGGCTATCTTGCAGTAATTCAAACTGCAGACAACACAGAACTTGAATTTTCTGGTGTATTTCATTATTCCTTGCTTTCTCACAGCAATTCACAGGAGCTAATCGCCAGACTTAGGGCTGCTGTGTACATGGAGGTCAGCAGAAATCTTGCTATGAATTTGCAGCAGTGCCACCACAACCTCCAAGTGGCTCCAAATCTACACGGCAGCGTTTTGCTTTTATTTGGACTTTAAAGCTTTGCTTGACCAATGCCTCAGCAGCCTCCCTGAAAATTCTTCAGAAAAGAAAACTAGAAACGGCCCTTTTGTTATTGTCTTTTTCCAAAAGGGGCCCAGGTAGTGACTTGTGAGCTCCCTCATACAAAGAGAAGAGAGGGAAAAAAGAAATAATCTCCCTACCCCCCATGTGCCAGAGAAAGCAGGCGCGCCAAAGAGGGTGTGCGTACGCTGCGAGAGCAAGGCTAGGGCAGGGGCTGACCTCCGGCTGCCTATCCACCACAAAAGAGACCGTGGCATTGACACAGCCTGACTGTTCTCCTTCGAAGGGGATGGATTGAGAGGAAGTGACCCTTACTGCCCCGCTTCTGCGGGGGACCTTGTGAATAACTGTTGCTCTTCTCTTCCTTCCTTCCTCAGGCAGGTCAGAGAAATTAACGCTGAGAACACTCTCTCTTACTTTGTTGTTGGAGCAAGAAAAAAGAAGACTTTTTCCCTTGAAACGGATGAGCAAGAACTGTAGAGGTGCTAACTTTTTGCTGTTTCTGCCTTGGGAAACACGGAATGATTCCCAGACTGATCCACAGATGACAGGTTAGCGGACAGCAGCACTGGCTCTGAGTGCAACTGTGTCTGGCTTTGTTTTTCAAGGAGACCCATAGAACAATCCATGCAGCTCAGTTCCCAAGAATTAGGAGCAGGCTTTATTCATTGAGAGATTCAGAGCTCTTAGAGCTCACCATCTAATGGCATCTGAAAAGTTTCTACTGAAACCCAGGCCACAGAGGAGATTAAAGAGGATCCTGGGGGCTGTAGGATGCAGAAAGCCAATCTGGGAATTGAAAGGAAGCAGAAGCTGCTAGGCCCACTTCTCAGCAGTGCCAGCATCTTTGCCCATCCCTTCTGAAGTTCACGGGGTGCCAAACCTTGCACCCAAGGACAGCCCTAAATAGGTTGGAGCTTGCAAGTGCCCAGCCTACTTCATATATCTTTGTTGTTGAGGGGCCATAGGTAAAGCACACGGACTCAGTTGCTCCCCTTTCTTTTCAAAGGACTTTTAAATGTCTCTCAGCTGCACTTGGGGGTGAGTCGGGGAGGGAGGGAGTGACCTTTGGATTCTCCCTCTAGAGGGAACCTGAGAAAATGACCTTTTGGCCCTTAGCTCCGCAGGGGCTCTGGAGAGGTCGGAGGGAATGACTCTTGGTCCAATCTCACTCTCCACAGGGGCTAAGGGAAAAATAGAGAGAGAGAATGAACTCCAGGAATATGCGATCACAGGAATTTTTGTCTTCTTCTGAAAAGGGGGCATGTTTATTTTGTAGCCCCGGTAAGAAAAATAACCTGCCACTGAGAAACAAGCACATCCTTTTAAGGCAAGAATGAGCTTCAACTCAGTGACCTAGAAATCAAGGCAGAAAGTAAAAGCTAATAAATAAATAAATAAGTAAATAAAATAATCAGGGATGTCGTGCAAAATCAAGGGGTGCCCTCTGAAGAGGTGTAATCAAGGCTCTGAGCCATCAGTTATAATGGTTTTGATTAAAGAAAGCTGTGCAGAAGTAATCTATTTTATTTTTAAATGGCCTGATTTTCCCTCACTACTCTCTTGGAGACTGAACCTAGAACAACTTGAAGGAGGACATAAAATGTTCATTGAAAATAGGTGAAAAGGTATGCATTTAATAAGAAAAACTCACATCTTTTAAAGTTACTTTTGGGTTTTGATGGCATGCATTAAAATTGGCTGAAAAAAGCAATGCCTTAGTAAATAAAAACATGAAAAACTTCCAAATCCTGGCTGATCAAGCCACGCGGTTCCTTTCTGCAAACTCAATGCCTGTTCACAGTGTTGAACTTCCTCGCTTGTTTCCAATATAGCTGAAACCCTAAAGTCTGAAAGTCTTCAGTTCCTGTATAGGGTCAGACATACTGTCTTTGCTTGATAAATAACGACAAATAGTAGAAAAGAACCTCAAAAGAATCACAGCTAGGTTGGGAGGGGAGGAAGGTTTACATTTTCTCCCTCAAGAAGGTCAGATGTTTATTCAAGCCTATCCAAACCTTTTGAACAGATCATGGGCTGTGCTGGAAATCTCAAGAGAGCAGCATTTCCTGGAGAGTGGAAGGAATATCTGTCTTCAGAACAGCCATCTGCAAAGTGTCATGCTGGTTTTGAGTCTGACAGTGCAAAAGGCTCACCGAGATACCAGGTGCAGAAATGTAGCCTATTTCTTAAAAGGTTATTGGAATAAAGTGAGCTGAGTTCTTGTGGCAGCAGGAATAAAGCATGTGGTATTTACTGCCCGTTATTGCTCTGCACTGCACTGAATTCCTCCCACATGACTTACATGTTGGAAATGGGATGTCCTTGTACCTTTATCTAGGTGAGTCAACGTGCATTTTTATACTCACGGTATTTTTTAGAAGAACTTCAAAACTTTATTATCAGTGCTTGGCTCGTTCTCACTCTATTTTTCAAGTTAGTTAAAATAGCCTACATAAAATAGTAGAGTATGGAAAAACAAGGGGAGGCCAAAATGTCTACCAGGTGAGCAACTTTGATTCAGTAAGTTGCATGCTTCAGTGGATCCAGTCACTACTTAAAATGGGTTGCCTGTCTTCACGTGGGAACAGCCTCATGTTTTAGTCAGAGATGCTTGTGTGCCTTTGGTTTCATTTTGATGCCTCTTTATGCTTCAGGCTCATGACCACATCATTTCCACATTCCAAGCTTGACATAAAGACTACCATTCACAGAAAGAGGCATGTTTTCATGAGAAACTCATTGTGTAATGTAGCCTTGTAAAAAGTGTCAATAGCACATTTACAGCACAGCAGAGCCGCTTAAAGCTGAGTGTCTTAACACTCATTTATGGAAGATGGCTGTAAACGTGAGCATGGGCAAGGTTTAGATGTCTTCTTTGCAAAGGTAAGCAATAGCATTAGGCAGTGTCTGCAGCTGCAGCTCCCTGTGCAAGGACTAGGAGCTGGAAATACTGCTGTCTCTATAAAATAAAGGAATCCAGACAAACCTGCAAATTAAGAATTTTGTAGAGGCTTGGGAATTATCTTTGTCCACAACGAATGGGCAAAAGCTTACTGTATCCTCTAATCCCAACTTATAATTAACATTTGATTTCCAAAAGCGTGGCAATCTTGTGTTCTTTTCAGTAACAGCATGTGTTCTATATTCATAGGAAATCAAAGTTGTACGCTGTTTACATTTCAGCAGCATGCTTCAGAAAATGAATTTAGCCATTCAAGGCTTGGGTGCTTTTAAATAATATTAATAAAATGAGAAAGTCATGGGATGGAGGACCAAATGGAGATACATTGTCACCTGCTGTAATTACTTTCTTAATATGCCATCTGTTGCCTTAGGTTCTAGGGTCAGGAAGTGAAATAAGCAGTGGTCTAAAATAATGCTGCTTAAGCTGTTTGTGAGTAATAATATAATGGCACTCTTGGCCCTTGCCTGTACCTGTTTCCCAGAGTGAGACCCGCTCTCCCCAACTACCTGGGAGCATCCCAGCCAGCAGCCCTGCAGGACCTGTCCTGTGATTCTGTGATTCCTGCTGGGAGGAATAAGGGCAGGGTCAGTGGTTATAAGCTCTGACAACTCCGTGCAGCCTTTCAGGCTGACACCAAGAACATTTTCCCCTTTAAATAATCAGCTATTGGAGAATTATCATGGAATCGTTCTTTGTTTAATCCACTCTTGTTGTTGGGTAGCTTGTGTGACTCCATGCACCAAAGCAAATGACTGAAAAATCCAGAACAGGAAACTTTTGATATGTAAGCAGCAAACACTTGTGTTCATCCAGGCCTTCCTTTGCTTGACCATGCGTGTGTATATTCTTAGGGGGAAAAGTACCCTGCTTTCCAGCTAAAGCCTGTTGTATATGAATGTATGCAAGTAGGAAGCAGAGCAGAGCAAAATACATTTGAATCTAAAAATGTATGTGAAAATACACATGCATCCATTGCATATCAAGACTACATCCCACTGGCTCCCTTTGGCATAAACAGTGTGTTCCTGAATTGTCCTTCAGAAGAAAAGCTACTCCTTTAACCATATAGAGAATGCTAGACAAAATTGGATTTATGCAGAGGAAAAACAACTTTTTTGTCATTTCCAGATAGGAGTTGTTTACATAGCAGTTGCAAGACGTGCAAAGCAGAAAAAAAAATACTCATCCCTGAAGATGCAGAGTCACTTAAAGCAAACAAATTCCTCACATAACTTATGACACTGATGCAATATAAATGTACAGAACAAATGCTCACACTCATTAAAGATGGAGAGGGTGCCTGGAGTGTCAGAGCTAGGAGCTGGGTTCAGTTTACAGTTCTCCTCTTGGTTGGTGTGCTAGCCTGGTCAGTTCATGTGAACTCTTCACAAGCTGCATGGATTTCCCCGGATCTCACATTACACATAGGTGAAATGCTGTGAATCCACTGAAGTTTTGCCACTGAGGAATGAAAAACACATTTAATTTGTTATTGTTAAGTGAAAGAAGGCAGTATATGACTGAAATCCATGCCTTTGAAATCGGTGAACTTCTTTCTCTTAATTGTGGTGAGTCATGATTATAAGTGAATGTGCACGTGTGTAAATGTTATGGGAAAAAAAAAAAAAACCAAAAAACAGAAAGATGGCTGGAATCAGACTTACAGTTGTATTTTAACCTATTCTAAGTATGTTGTGATACAGCTACAACCAGTAGTTTTGACTGTATTTTTATCCCCACAAGAATTGGCTGCCATGCCTTTGGGGAGTGTTTTTGTGTCAAAATACCACCAAGCAAAGTGTGTTTGCTGAAACTGCAACACCTTTTGTATGTATTATGGCACATACTAAAACAAGGGGAGGGGGACTCAGTGACACATACTGATTAATTGGTTAACAGGAGCTTCCTCATACTCATTACAGCTATTCAGCCATATCACTTTCTAAATCTGAAGACACAATTTTATCTGAAAGCCCATATGGCTTATCAGGAAACTGTGCGTATAGAAAATTACCACAATCCCGAACCAAGATAATATTTATCTAATAGACCATAACAGCTTGGGAAGAGTCAATATGGTCTCTCATTTGAGCATGCATTTTGCTATGCATTCTACCTATACAAACACAAGTCATTTACATTGCAAGCTATCTGCCTGGTAAATCCATTTTTAGGTAATTCTTGTAACAGTGGATATTTTTTTATGAGAGATTATAAAGATCGTTTGAATGTATTGTAGCTCATGTATTAATTTGGAGATGACTGAGTATTTGCCTGGTGGATTGTAATGGACTCTGATGGAGCTGTTGGCTTTTATCAGCTAAACCCATATTTTGGTATGTAAGCAAATTTGAAAGAGCAAAATATTTGCCGAACAATCAGCCAGACTGCTGTGTCTGACTTGCAGCATCCTGCCTGCTCTGAGTCACCAGGTTGATAAAGGTGCAGCCTGCCTGCTGCCAGGGCCCAGGTCTGGCACAAGTGAGCCATTACTGTAAATTCTGTCTCATCCCTTCCACTCACAGAAATCAAGGAGTATGAAGAGCACCTTGCTGGGGGTTAATGGCTGAATTGGAAGTGAAGAGGTAACCCTTTCACCTAATCCCACAAACCTCTGCAGAGAACGTCCTGTAGTGAAGTCATGCTTACTCTGAAAGTCCTGGGTGGGTCCTGCCTTTGTGTTCGGAGATCCTTTGACATTGTAGTTAAATAGGTTCTTTTTCTCTCTCCATTTTTTTAGGTTCTGTTTTCCCTCTACTGGAAAAGTGAAGGAGAATAAAGAGACGAATGGCAAGAAGAGTGTCAGCATTTGAATGGAAAAGGAAAATTAGCAGGAAGATCTTGTCTAGGATTTATTTCAGTATTTTAATATTGTTCAAAGTGAAGGATCAGTCTGTTATCAAAGAATATAGAGGTTTTTGTAAAGCAGACATTTAAAAGGTAAACTTTTTGACAGCAAATATTTTTTAATGACAAAATTTTGAGCAACCATAGCAGAGAAAAAATCCCTCCTGAGGAAGGACTGCTCAAAATCACAGAGTGGCCCCTTGGCATAATCTCTGAGAGCCTGCACTAAGAGGGATGAAAGTGTCTGTCCTTTTCACTGAATGCAGAGGGACCCCACGTGGCTGGTGAATACTATGTGCCTGACTCCTACACCATTCAAGTCACAGGAGTTGAAAACTGCTTTTTCACCAAATCCTCTCACTGAAGAAAAATGGAAAAACAGCCAGGCAACAGCAGCCTTTCCAGCAGTTTTCCATAGGTTATCGAAGCAAATTTCACCACATATCAAGGTTTAGTCCTTTTAAGGAAAATGATTGTGTTTATGCCATCTCCCAAGTATTTCAGTGGCATTTCCAGAAGAGGCAGGTGGTGTGGATACTGAGTGCAATAGGGAGAGACTTACTCTCTTGAAATCACATAGAAAGTGTGGACTTTGTGTACCAGAGTTATGGTAGGTCCTAAAGTAACACTTTATAAACAGAGTTGTAATTATTACAATCGTGAGACATTTATGCAGTCAGCCACAGAATGCTAAAATAAAATTTCTGTTAAACAATGTTCAATAAAATGCAGTTTTCCATCAGATCACTTTTCTCGAAGAGTGTCAGTAAAATGGCCGCTGTCACAGTGCCAATGAGATGTAATGGAAGATAGATAGTACTTAACATCCTTAAAAATGCATTTAGATTTGATGGTTGAGGGCTTGTCATCAGCAGACAGAACAGGCATCGAGATCCCAAATCCTTCTTACTAGCTAAATAAACAAACACAATCTGCATTCCATTGAAACTATGGAAGAAGTATGCTAGATATGAAGATATGAAGATGGCAGATTCCCACCACAGAGGCTGCACTAGTCACTGCAGCTTTGCTTAATTTTGAAGAAAAGGACTGGGGAGGAACCTACAGAAAATAAATGGAACTATTTCTGCCATTCCATGTCTTGCAGAGTGAATGAAGAGTGAAAGTGAGATTTCCACTCGCTGTCCCCTGCTTATGTGATGTACTGTGAGGGTACGTAGGAAGCCTCAAACCTGTTAATATATATTCTGCAGGGTGGGTAAGTGTGCTATATTTAATTTCCATTGAAACAGTGCTTCTCTCTGAGGCTTCCTACATACCTTCATATCTCATCCATCCACTATTGACTTTGCTCCTTCCTCACTTCTTGCTGCCATCACATCAGTCACAGCTGTGTCCCAGCAGTACTTCTGACCCAATCCCGTATCCCACTGCTTCCTGTTGCAGTCTTCAGGTCTTCTCGTGATTCCATCTTAGGAAAATATTTAAGAATATACATATTTAATTATAAAATAAATCTACCCCCAGTTAGTTATGTGCCTCAGTTTCCCCATTATTGCTGGGGGAGATGCCATTAACTCACATCACAGTTGCATGATGAGCTCCCACACACGCACATAATGTCCTTGGGAAAATGCCATTGACTTCTCCAAAGGATTGAATTGCCTCACTTTAATTTTAGCTGGTTTCGTTCGTAACCTCCAACGTTCTTTCCTTACAGAGCGTGTCTGTGCATGATTTTATTATGGGTAAAAGCAGAATGCATCAGGAAAGTTCCTGAATGGCAAAATGTAGCACTCCAGCCTCCTGGAGTTTAATTATATTTGTATGCCCACTCCTGCTTCAGTGACTCTTTCAGAGGTTCCCACTCGCAGCTGCAGCTAAGTGGGCATGTCTTAAGGTGACAGATTGAGAATATATATTCAAGTATATGTAGAAGTACATCTACTTTTCCATTTCTCCTTTGTTTCTGCCACTCACTCACCGATGTCAAAATCACACACTTGCAATTTAAACCCCAATATACATCATTATGGCAACTCAAAACTAAAAAGTATTGCTCACATTCCTCCCTCACCTTTCACAGAATTTCACACTTCTTTTCCCTGCTTGCCCATCCTATTCCTCCCATACCATCCCCTAGTGATGCTCTTCTTTGGCTATGTCCGTGCCACCCCAGCAGCATTGCTTTTACCACAGCATTATGACCTAGGTCTAAGCTGGCAGCTATAAAAGCTTTCAATCCAAATCAGAATTTGTGACAAAAATCAATACTTTCTTCAAAAGATTCTATTGGGTCTTACGATTTGTATCACTTGTGTATTCACCTGAAGAATTTGGAGTTCCCTCACTACTGCAAAGCTTCCCTAGCAGGGCCAGTGTTTCTTGGCTTACATTTTAAAAACTGTTTGCTTCAGCCACACTTGTGCTTCTTTTGTGTTCACTTTCTTTGAATATTCATGTGATTGAATTCTGTTTCCATTAAGATTCACAGAAAGTGAACCTCAGAGCTGCAGATATATTCGCAGAAGCAGCGTTTTACATTTGCACACTTAGGTATTCAGAGCTAAAAGCACTCACTCAAAGAACAAAATCACTACCTTTTCGCCATCCAGTCCCACGTAAAACTGTTTATTACCCACAAAGAACTGATTTTTGATCCAGCTATAGAGACTTCTCACTTGCTCACAAAAAAGCCTCCAAACCCATATATTTCAGTAATACAGGGAAATCACTACTTTCTGTAGATTTGTTCGAGCAGAAGAAAAGTTTAGCCAGATTATGTATTATCAAGCATTTGTTCAGAATTTGGATCCTCTTGCCACAGAAGTGTGACCTCTTGTAGACGTTTGCAGTACAGAAACTGTGACACACAGCTGAGCAGATACAGGCTTTTCAGCAGAGATGTTGCACATCCACCTGACACAGTTAATTAAAATGTCAGTTCTATAGGAGTAAAGGGAGATGAATGTGAGCCAAACAGCTGAGCAGAGAATTTTGTTTTGCCTTTGAGCAATTCACTGTAATTTTGTTTAAACACGGGGTGTTTTTTTTTTCCCCATTGTATTGATCAATACAAAGCTACAAAAATTACCCTAAAAAAACACTGGCATATTCAAACCTGTTTCTTAACAACTTGCCCCTTACTGTTCCTAAACTTTTCAGTCTCTTTGGTGCTGTGGCCTGATATACTAACATCAGTGGATTTCAGTGGGAGTTACCTCAGTTTTGCTAGGAGGGTGTTCAGCATCAAGTGCTGTACTGAGTGACAACATGGGGTTAAGTCATCTTCCACTAGGATGTACAAAGTAGCATGTGGTTTGTTGGATATATAGCCTAAATGCAAATGCTAAATTGGCACAAATGTCAGGACTGTGTTGATGATGTGTGTTGATGGCACAGAGCTGGGAGGTGTTCCCAAAACAGAGACGAACTGGTGCGTTGTACAGAAGGAACTGCATGACACTTTGGTCTGGAAATAATAACAGAAATAAGATGAAATTCATTCAAAATACAAAATAAAAACCGGCATGTCCACATCACCTGCTGTAAGGTAGGTGCTTATCACAGGGGAATGACTCAGAGGTCAGAAGCTGACCTCAGGGCAGCTGTGTGCCTCCAGCCGGGGGCAGTTGTGAGAAGCCTGTCTTCAGCTATTCCAGGAGTCATATATCTAGGAGACCTATGGATGTATATGTTAAGAATCATGATCTAGCATACTGATCCAATGGCTCAGTAGTGTTTTCAAAGAAGAGACATTTGGACTTCAGTCTTTGAGTAAGGCTTTGTTTGTGTATTAGCTCATCTGAAATATTGCATGGACTCTGATGATCCTGTAGGTATAACATAGTTGGGTTATATTTTTGCAGAGCACCCAAAGAAGGGACTTCATGTTCAGACCTCCTCATTGCCCTCCAGAGATACTCTCAGAGACGTCAGATGTTTGGACTTGCTTGACAGTTGAAGAATGTATATGCTTCTATGTGACAGCCTTTGGGAGAGCCTGATTCCTAGAAAGCATAAACTAGGCCTCTAGTCAGCAGTAGTGACTCATCAACAAGAGGCTCTGCCTTCAAGGATGTCTCAGACTCCCTGGTGTCTGGCAGGCCAGCACACAAATGCTGCAAACACCTTTATTTGGACCTTTTTGTAAACGTTATGGGTGGATTTACTCCCTTCTACTGAAAAACTGGACCAGAACCCAATCCTTCCACTGATTAAAAATCTTCCAATTTACAGCTAAATGTATTTAAGATCAGTGTGCACATGGAATCAAGTAAAACAAAAGAAGAGGCAATTTGCAAGGTGTATGGCCAGGCTCTTAGTTACAATGTTGAAAGCAAATGCTCACAAAGAAGAAAATGCAAATGACATGTCTGCTCAGGGATCACTACCAACCTCCAGCACCTAGACACCCAGCAGCCTTTCCAGCTGCCAGGTCTGGGAATCTAGAGCTCTCAGCATCACTCTGCCTTCCAAACAACTCCCCAGTTTCCATTTCTACTCCTGTGCCAGGTGTGGTACCAGCCTCAGGAGCTGATGACCTGATTTTCATCCCGTCATCCCTGGATATCCCTTAAGCATCAGAATCTTTTAAGTGATACCTAAGGTGATACAGCATGAAGGTGAGGAGCACCAGATCCAAGAGGTTCAGCATGCAGGTGGGAAGGAGCAGGACAGAATGCAAAGGACAGGCTGTTTTCTGTCTTCCTGAAAGAGAAGGAGGAAATAGATCTGGAAAACAGAACTGGAGAGGGAAGAGGAGGGGTGTGAGAACTAAATGATTTATGTGCATGTACAAATGAGAGAATGAGAGGCAAAGTTTCAAACTGGTAATTGGTTTGGGATTTTTATTGATTATAAATTGAAATTCCAATCTGCAGTTAATAATCTGAGCCTGAACCATACCTGCTATGCAGAGTTGCTAACACATCTCTATAAAATGTTGTGCAAGACAGCAGCTAGACATAAATTCTGCAATGCTTATGATTTCCAGCATGTTACTTTCTATAAAGACCCTCCATTGGTATTAAGTACAGTAGTAGACATAGATGTGAAATGCTGCTTGGAAGCATCTTTTCCAGCACTTTGTTTCCTGTGACCCATTTCCCACACCTTCCCTTTGGTTCTCAAATAAAGTAAGTGGAAGAGTCACGTGTGAAAGTGGGTTCAAAGACCACTGATGCTACTTTAATTTCAGTGCTTATTTCACTCTTTTTGCTTTGGAGATAATGATTTATACCCACGTCAGAAAGTTTAGGTTTGGGTTTGGGTCTGTGTGATTTGGGCTGAGTTGGCAGTGCAGCGTTTTGAATTTATGGATGTGCTCCTTCTATATAAAATGCTTTTGACTTGACAGGGCAAAAAAAGGGGGCAAAAGCACCCAAATGCTTTTATCTCTTCTCTTACACACGACTTCAACAATAATATAATAATTTTCATTTTAAAGTGCACTAATGCCATTTTAATCATTTATTGAGCAACTAACATAATACAAAGGAAAGGATGAAATGGAATATTTGTGGCTGTGGAGACAGATATCATTATTCAAGGGTGGAAGCATGTGAAAGGGTAAAGGGGGTTTAAAGAGATACTCTTTTGTTGTACTTAACACTGATAAATGACATACAAGTCAGGATAACAGGGCAGAGCTCCTGTCAGGGAGACAATGATAAATGTGGAGCCTGGGACAGAAAGGTCCACTAAACAGAAATCTGTATATGAAACGTTGTACATTTGATAGACTCATCTGCATCGTCTGACTAATCCACAAAGCATTTCTCTTTGCTCGAATTATGGCCCTCGAGCACATCTTGTATAATCACCAAGTTCATGTTTGTTTTCCCCTTTTCCTATGGCAGCAAAGATCAATTCCCTTAATCAGTGCAACATACAAGGCTAAAAACAGTAGGGAAAAATGTTCTTTTACAAATATAATTGATACTTATTTCAGGCTAATCATTGTATAATATGAAATAAAAAGCAGTCAGACCTTATTTATAATTGCTGCTTTCTCAGAAATCTTCCTTTTAAAAAGATGCCCAGCATCAGCCTGTTCACAGAAAGATCCATTTAAGAGAAAACAAAATCCCCAACTACTTCTTCTCTGCGAGTGAGACAGAATGTCTGTGATTCATGTGTTAAGCTTCATATATCCCATGCCCCAAGCACCATGACCCACACTTCTCAAATGTCCTCGCGTCAAAAAGGAACACAGAGGAGAGGAGGCAGCCATAAAAGGCATTCACATCCACGAGAAGCAATTTTAACAGTTCTCAAAGAAAAAATTCCAAGAATACGCTCATGTAGCATTCACTGAACCCTCTTAGCAGATGACTAAGCCTCACGCTTTCAATAGGAGAAACGTGCATGAAGGGATAAGTGTGATATCAGGAGGTAAGAACACAAAGGAAGATT